GAAAGGTATTAGTGAGCTCCAGTTTTGCTAAGCCCCTGTGAATTCTTCTACCTCACAGGAAGGTAAATGCAGCCACTCTGAAAGAAAGAGTATTTTTAAATTTTATTGTGCCCCTGCAGCATGCCTGAAGTGTTCATGGTATAGAAGACACACAACCAGGCCTTCTTTCCTCATGGCAGGAGTTAGGATTTTAGGAACATGCCCCCTTTTTGGTGGTGCAGAGTGGAGGTGGGGATAATGGAGCCTCATCAGCCTGGAAAACACTTTCAGGTGTTATTCGGTCTAGCCTCCTACCCCACTACTGTACTAGCTAATGTCTACTCACCAAGCCCGACAGACGTCTCTATCTAGGGAGCCTCCTTCTGACACTAGGGAGAGTCGAATCTATTTGTAGCATGTGTGTTGTTCAGCTACATTGATCAGAATCCCCCATGTGTAAGTCAGAACTCGACGTGGGGCTGGGAAAGAGCTAACCTGTTGTTGGCTTTGGACCTGTGTACTCATTCAATCAGAGCACTCCATATTCACCGAACATCTCCTACATCCTGGTTCTCTAAGAGAGCACGTCTGCCAAAGGGAACACGGAAGAACACCAGAAATGACCCCTCCATTGACCCCTGTGGCCCAGCCAACAAATTTCATCTTTCAGATGGAGAAATGATTGACCCAAACAATAACACTCCCTTCTGGAAAAAAGTGGTCCTTCATCACGGGGGCAAGCATTGTGTGCGCCCCTCAGGACATTGGCTCTTAATCACAGGTCATCAGTAAAGGGCCTCCCAACTGTCCCTCACCCTGTTCCCCAGGATGGAGTCAGCACAAATGCACTAACCGATCTCTTGGCACCGAGGGGAGTCTCAAATTAAATGGTTCAAAGGCATTTTTTCTGCCTTACAATTTGGCCATCTTTCCTGTGGTGCAGTAAAATCTCCAATGCTTGGAATTTATGATCCTTTGGACAGGGACTGGGCTGAAGTCTGCTTCTGGACTATTCTGCATAGAAAGGATTTTCGAAGAAAATTAATAGCTTGCCAAAAGAATTGTAATGGGAATGCTTACTCCATGTAAGGGGGCCCCTGTTCTAACCCTTTACAAACACTCATGTATCTGCAAACAATTCATATGCTAATTTCAAATGATTTTTACATGTTCACTAAGTCTCCAGCTACAAGTATTCGTCAATATGATTGTTATGCTTTGAACTGGCTTCAAACACTAGGTTTTTCCTGAGCTGAAACTTCTTAGGTACAAACTTTTCTAAACTAAGCAATTAACAAAGGGAATTAAGCTAATACCACGCAGCGTGACTACTCTTCTTTGGTGATAATAAAAGAGGTCTCTCTACAGGTCAGGTATCTTACTGATTCATGTTTGTCTTCTATCCAGCTGATACAGGGTGAGGTTTGACTGCGATACCCCTCAGCCCGTTTGCCTCCGATAATCTCTGTTAGATTTTCCCACACTGAAATCATTCTTAAAACAACCCTTTTTCATTCATAAAAATTTCTTCATATGGGCTATAAATTATACAGTCACTGTAGATTTGATAAAACCAATTAAAGTTGTGACTTTGCAAGGAGTTGGAGCTTTTACTTGACTGACATACCTGGTCTTCCTTATACAAACCTAAAGTACAGTCCATAAGGATGTTGTACCAATCAGTTCAGAATCCAAATACCTCTTCATGGTGCCCCTCCCCTTAACTAGATGAAAAAAGCAGCTAACTTTTCCTGCTGGAAAGGAATTAAGAGTTCCACCCTCCAGTCCACCCAATCCATCAATTCCATCTCAATGTACTTGCCTGTCAGGAGTTGAAATCCTGAAATGTTCACTGTCAGCATTATTTGAAAGAGAAATGGGGTAAGCGGGGAAAACACATACCACAGGAACTCTTGACTTCCTCCCAGCTATTATTCTTTGTTATAGGAAGGATGTCTATCAAACAGGCACTCCCTGTCCTCCTCCAGTGTAGGGAGTGTCTTAACTGACTCAGTCCTCATAGCACTGTCTCTGGGAGCAAATGTTATTACTTCTACACTCAAGCTGACTAAGAGAGGTAAAGCTAATTTCTCAGGGCGCTCAGTAAACCAGTACAGGGTTCTAGGTTGTCTTCCACTAAAGTCAGTCCTTAACCGTTATGATATACTGTCTCCTACTTTGCTCTACTGTTCTGACATTTGAGTCAGACAGCTGCTTGCAACTTGAGACATTATAAAGGTATCGCCTCATCAAGTATGCCTCACAAAGGGGGACAGGAAGGCAGGGGAGTGCTGAGGGGGATTTGTTTGGAGTGCAGTTGTATGATGTATACATGTTGCTCTGAAATCAACAAATTGCAACTACCATTCCACTAAATTAGCCTCAGAGACAGACTTAAAATATCTTAGAGAAGCTCACCCCTGGAGCTTTGCTTATCTACAAGCAAATATTAAGTAATGTAAGCAACAGGACTGGCTAGTGGTTCTCTCACCTCCTCCAGCTTTTTGCAGTTACTTGCACTGGTCTGCTGATTGTGAGCTGGGCTTGACTCATGGACTTTAGCATTTCTAATGAGCCCCAGTCCCCAGATTGCCTCCAAAGGAAATCACTGGGGCTCTGCTGGTGCTAAGCCAGTACCCTCAGTCCATTTTCCTCCCAAGAACTCCTCTTTGGGGGCTGGGGATTTAGCTCAGTGGCAAAGCGCCTGCCTGGCAAGCGCAAGGTCGTGAGTTCGGTTCCCGGTACCGGAGAAAAACCAAAAAAAAAAAAACTCCTCTTTGGAAACAGGGGGCTTCTGCCCTTATATACGCATAGAACATTGGATAGGAAGTGGAAATTGACAGTTACTGGATGTGGCTGGGTTGGGTGAGAATGGAGTGGTTCAGGTTTTAGGGCCACTTTGTTAAAAGACAACCCAATCCCAGCCTTTCCTGAGGACTTGACTGCAAATGTTCCCTGCTCACTCTTCACCTCAAACCTAGAGAAACATCTATGGATGGAATCTGTCCTACAGAAAGGCCACATCTGTCACAGAAGTACGGAACAGGACCTTTCTAGCATAACATAAACAGAGGGCTTATAGCTCAGACTTTTACCTTAGGGGTGGTTTTCAGGGGGAATGAGACCCAGGCCATTAAAAAAGACATCAATAGTGAAATGATACCAGGAGAGTGTGTCTGTGTGTGTAGTATGTGTCAGGGACAGATTAAATGTCTCAGACAGTTTAAATTAGAAATAGCCTAAAGCCGCAGAAAGCATGAGGGTTAAGAGACTTTTTAGACAATTCCTTTTTAGACAATGTGATTGAGACCATAACCAAGAAAAGGGTATGTGAGATAGACAGACCATGAAATTACCAGGACCAGTAGACATTATACAGACTTTTCTGAATTTTCTTTTCTCCCTCTTTATCCCTAAAATAGATAGAAGACTGGACCAAATGCCACACTTCTGGTCTCCAATAAAATTTCCCCTAGTCCCTCCTACAAGGGCATTTTCTTTGGCCAATGCAGCACCTGCCTAGCCAACAGTAGGCGCACTCCAAGTGGGAAGGGATGGCAGACAACCAGGAAGATAAAACTGCTGACGTCAAAACTCTCTACAAAGAACCTCCTTCCAAACAGAGCAGCATCAGCTTTTAATGACACTTGATGTTATTGTTCCCCTTCCCCATTTAGCATGCACTGGGGGTTGCCCCCTCCTTCCTTTCTGCAAATACCGGCTGCTGTTTGCAGCCTGCTACAGCTTACTGGTCTGTCATGCTTCTTGTTCATCCCCGTTCCCAGCATGGGACATCCCATTTTTCTAAAAATGCGGTATGAGCTTCTGTTCTACTGGAAAAAAGTTCCTCAGTATGGATTTGATTTTCCAGGTATGACTCGTATCCATCTTCAACCTCACACCCACTGGAAAGTTCAGATTTTATTGTGGCAGACCAAGCATTCTGCTCACAGCACTTTTCCAGACATATTTTCAATCTATTCCTTAATGCAGTCTGCCAGGATTAATAAATCCTCCAAGTGGTCCCCCCCCCCGCAACTCCTGCTTCCTTTTTACCCACGGAACCACTCACCCAGCAGTAGCAAAGATGAGTTTTCGTATGGTCTTAATTTTCCCTGAAGAAGGCACAGCCTTCTTCCTCTCATTCCCAAACTCCTCTACATTGAATAATTTATGAAAAGGATTGGGTTTTCTCTGTATTGGAACGCTTCTGTTTTCCTCCAGTCTCCTCTCCTTTCATCCCATACCTTGCTCTTCCTCTTCCTGCCTTTCATTTCTACCCTATGCTCCCTTCTCATTTGTACTACCATCCAAGGATGTGTTCTTATTCCCAAGTTCCAAGCAATCTTGTTGATTCTTGAAAACCCCAAATAAAACTCTTCCAAGACCATCTTCGCGATCTTGGAAGGCTCCTTCCTCCCTGACTCGTGAGCACAGACTCCTGATTTTGGATGCTGGAGAGCAGAGAATTCAGCAGAAGCCAAAAATGCGTGGAGGAGGGTGCTGTTTGGGGTATATTTGAAGAAACAGCATATGGGCTTTCTGTCAAAATGTTCAGAGCTCGCTAGTTTCTGAGCTGAGGACAGAAATGTGCTGCCACTTCTCAACACTGTCTGAGCTGGTTCAGTTTTCATCTTCTCTTGTACAACAATCGCCCCAGCTACTCCGGATCCATCATCCCTTTGCCCCCTGCCCTCTGAGCTATGTGATACCAAGAAAAGTTTTTCAATCACGTTGTACCCCAGCCGCACCGCCCACCCTCAGAAAGCGAAACCTCTTGCATATAAACTATGGGGTATAAGCTGAGTATTGCTTCCTTCCTCCCTAAAGAATCTCTGACACTTCTCTCTAGCTTCTTCCTTACAAGCAATTAGTTCCCATGTTCCAGCGGGAGATACCGAGTAGTGGCAGAAAAGATAGGCGCTCTGGCCCAGCTGTCTGCACCCACCCTTCAGGGTTCTGGAGAACAGGCCAGAAAAGGGGACCTTCTGGGTCTCCCCTGCTAAGAACGAGGTCATTACCTTGGCAGCGGCTTGCGGGCCGTGATACTAGCAACGATGATGCTCTCGGGACGAGGAGTGGCCACCGCTTTGAAGGTTCCTCGCCAGAACTTCTCAAAAAGCTGCTTCTCGCCCTGCTGAACGCTCGCCATAGCCAACCCAAAGGGGCCGGGGCGCCCGGGTGCTGTCCGAAGTGCTGAAACGTGGATTCCAAACTGGGGGCACACCCGGCTCAGGGCGCTGTCCGCGCGAAACCCAGAGGGGTGGGGTGGGAGAGATCGGAGTTCCGGGCGGGGGATGGGGCGCGCTAGTCTGCGCAGGCAGCGGAGAAAGGAGGCTTGTCCGCCGGCTTTCTTCGCCTTCTGGGTTGACTGTAGCTTGCTCTCTAAGCTTGCTGAGCTCCGCGCCCCAGAAAGGGAAAGCAGGGCTGGCTTTCTCGGCAGCGCCGGCAGAGAAGAGGCGACCAGGTCGTCTGGGTGTGCGTGCGCGTGTGAGCTCCGGCGCGCCCGGGTTTTGTCTCTCGCACAATGTGACGTTGGCGAGGAGGCTGGTAGCGCGAGCTTCACTTTGCTCCCCCTCCGCTCTCTCCTCCTCCCCATCCACCCCTCCTCCCCTGGCTCAGCCTCCCGCCGCCATCTGCATAACAAAAGCCCGCAGGTCTTGGGAGGAGAAAGGGCGGGGCGTGCGCCTGTCACCAAGGCCCCGCGGCCGAGGAGTTGCAGCGCTGTCCCCTCGGAGCAGCAATCCTAGCACCCAGAGCCTAAACGGCAGGAAATCCTGCTTCCCAGAGTTCTGCCCTCCTCCATCATCCTGGGCTTTTCTCCAACCCTTCCTGTGTTCCCTCGGGGCTCGAGCACCGCTATCCCAGCCGCTTCACAAGTCTTGGGGGGATCTACGCAGGGAGCAAGTACGAAACTTGACCTCGAGACTCGGGCCAAACTCCCCCTCCTTCGGGAAGGGACCGCGGAGGTCCTCAAAGGGCGTCCCCTGAGCTCCTCTTCGAGGCTGGGGATCGCGAGGTCCTCACCGCCCAGAAAGTGCTATTTGTTGGACAATCACCAGTTCTGCTTCTCGCCATCTGCCGAGCCGGCCTCCGCCCAAGCAGCGTTACATCTGTGCCTGTAGCGCTGGGATGGATGTCTCTTTTGTGCCTCTCTGCCGGCCTGCCCTCCGGCCCCGCTGCCAAACGCGTCCAAAGGAAGAATACCCTTCCCACACACCCCTTCCACTCCTAGGGGACTCGGCGGCAGCCACTTTTCTTAACACAGCTTGTGTTAGGAAAGGAGACTCGTGGAAAAGAAAGCGCTTAGGGAGAGGTGGAGGCGGGGATGGGGGGTTACAGGATAGTAACTTTTTGGGCTTTTCTCTCCTCGTTCTTCCCCTTTCCCTCTTCTCCACCCCCAACCCGCCCCCGCTGTCAACCTAATCTCAACACGTGGAGATTCAGGATCCCAAGTAAACTGCAGACTCATAGACTCTGGCTAGAATTTCTCTTGTTTTCCCTAGGATTTTCATTAAGAGATCTTTGCGGGACCTCTCAGCCCATCCCTCTCTTGGGGGCTTTTAATATCAGCAGAATTGCTATTCCCTCCCACCCTCAGGTTAGCACATAGCCGGAAGGAGGCCTTTCAGAGTCTCACAGGCCTCCAAACACAGGGCAGCGGGTCCCAGTCTCAGCGGGAATAGGTCTATGGCTCTTGCTGACACTGGTAGCGTGGGGACCCCAGGGCGAGGACACCTACGTAAACTTCAGAAATTCTTTGAAAGGGAAGAGAAGGTAAACAGCAGGGGAGGGGGCGGGGAAGAGATGGGGCAAGAGGAGCAAGAACGCTTGAATAAAATAGCATCCGGCCGGAAGTGTAATAGGTCTGGTTTGTGTGTATTCCATGTTTGTGTGGCCGCTTCTGAGTGCCCCAGCGCGCTGCTCGCTCTGCAGTGACCCCATCTGGCCAACAACTAGAGATGCTTTTGCTGGGTTCTGCAGGCAACTGCCGCCGGGAGGTGGGGTTAGGGCTGGGTTGCTTGCAGGTGGTGGAAAGTGGAGAGCGTGTGTCCCTTCCCTTCTCACTGCCCCCTCAGACCGAAACCCGCCTCATTCCTCAACTGCGCTTAAGCCCTGTTTCCCACCCTGAAGCTGATGTCACTTTAAATGCTGCTGAGAGCCACCTCCTTAGGTAGGCTGGGATATTTAAAATTACCCTTAGTCATGACATTGGGGGGACGAAGAGAATCACTCACACTGGAGGGGTAGGTGGGGTCTACCTCCACAAAATCAATCAATAGCTCCCAACTGCGTTATTGTTCTCAATTCTTAGCAGGCAAAGCCCCACGTGCACAGCGTTGCCTCGTTTGAACCTGACAGCAGCCAGGTGAGGTGGCAGAGGAAGCTACTCTTACCACCCCTCGCCCTTTTGTGGTACTAGGGATTGAAACTTGAGCCTTCTCACTGGGCTACATCGCCCTTCTATTGCTTGGTTTTGCCTTTGTTTTTAGACTGCGCCTCCTGAAGTTCTCCAGACTGCAGGCGTGCACCACCACACCTGGCTTCTTACATCCTTTTAAAGATGAAGAAGTTCAGGTCAAGGATGGCCAAGTGACTTGCTCAGCCTGATTCTATGGGTAGCAAAGGAAGTCTGCACAGAATACAGTTTCTGTTTTTACTTGGTGGGGGGGATGGGAATCTTTGGGATACTAAGCAGTCCAGGGTAGAAGCATGCAAGATGCATCAGATACCAGTGAGCCACATAGCTAGAAGCACATCATGTTAGCAAGGATGGCAAACCAGGGATGAAAACCCTCTAGGGTTTTCAGGGCTGCAAACAGCCTACATGTACTAAATTTAGGAGTTAAGAATTAGCCTGTTTAAGTTCAAATTCCAGCCCCTCTGTGTCTCAGCTGTGTAATCTTGAAGAACTGACTTTACCTGCTCATGCTTCAGTTTCTTCATCGGTAACATGAAGGTTCTCTAAGGATTAAATATATGTGAATAGGCTAGCTGGGAGGATTAGAAGAATTAACACATGTGCAGGCTGCAGGGCAGTGTCTAGAACACAGCTTGCTCAAGAATACCAATTATTATTTGAGTGGTTAGCAGCATAGCATCTGCAGTTGGAGTTGAATAGAACTAGGGTATGAAGTCCAGCTCTGCCACTTTTAGCTAGACGATCCTGAGCTAATAATAATAATAATAATAATAATAATAGTCTCCCTACCTGTACAGTGGGACATCATTGCATATTTAGTATGATTTTTTTGAGGACTAAATAAAATAGTCCTTGCAGAGTGTCCACTTCATTTCAAGTGACCTTTAAATCAGAGGTTCCCAACTCTTGTTAGGAACCAGGTCACACACCAGGAGGTGAGTGATGGGGAAGCAAACAAAACTTCATCTGTATTTATAGCCGCTCCCCATGGCTCAAATTACTACCTGAGTTCTGTTCCCCTTTCCTCTGTGAACTGCCCATGCTAGGGATCTAGGTTGGAGAGTCCTTTGAATCATCCCTAAACTCGCCACCTTTCACTCCTGTACCCCCCAGCCCTTGACCTGTCCATGGAAAAATTGGAAAACTTGTTTTCCACAAAACCTGTCCCTGGTGCCAAGAGGATTAAAGACTGCTTGCAGTGGTGGTTGTTATCGCTGATGCTGTTGAGATCATCACCTGTTAGTATCTCAAGCCAGGCCATAGTCAGTTCAGCAATTATTCGCTCATGCCTCCTCTTAGATCTTGGTTAGGCACAATCTTGGGTAGGGAGACACAGTCCCTTCCCTGGAGGGGTTCACAGGAAAATTTACCTTCTGGGTCCTCATTGCTTAACATTTGTGTCTCTCCCATATTATCATAGTGAGTTAGACTTTAGGTCTGGTTTTGCTGATGTAACTCAAACTCCAGTTCCTCTACCACTTCATCACAATGTAACTGTGTCTCATTCTCTCAGGGTATTGCTTTTCATTTTTCTAAGTAAAAGCCAGCTTACCCCATAAGCTGAGGCCTATCCATATGTTGGTTAATGAATAAAAAATGCATAGCATAGTTGCTGCTTATCTTCTGTCCTCTGTCAATGGCAGGCATCACTAATTCATCTGAGAATGCTTCTCAAGACACTCTTCTAGACAGGCATGACTAATTGGGTGGAGCTGGCGTTCTAGATAAAATCAGTTTGTCATTCTTGTCTAGAGGTTGTTTCTTTATCTGACTGGTGTTGTTTCATTGTACAAAGGTGAGACCAGGGCGAAGTAATTCTAGAGTTTGTAAATCCAGGCACTCTAGAGGAGTAGCTAAAGAGATTTGTATTGGTCAGCTTTTCCATCACTGGTACAGAACACTAGACACCTGCAATTTAAAGGAGGAGGAGACTTTTCATTTAGCTCACAGTTTCAGGGGATTTAGCCCATGGTTGGTTGGCTCTGAGGCAGAAACATCATGGTGGCTGGGAAGCAGATTAGGGAATAGTGCCAGCAAAGAAGGGCACAGGGCCAGATAGAGTACTTGGGTCACCCTTGCATGACCCATCCAGACACACCCAGAAGTGTGCTTTACTAATTCCCTAGGCAGCTCTCAAGCCAATCAAGTTGACAAGTTTAACCTTCACAAGATCCTCTATGATCCAAAGAAGCAGTCGCTTTTTGGATGAGGTTAGCTCAGAGAAATAGCTACCTTTCCTCCTGAAGCAGTTCTAATTTCACCTAATATTACTGTGTTACCTTGGGTAAATCTTTTCATCTCTCTCTGTCCTGGACTTCTCTGAGTACAATATGGCTAATCATTATCTACCGTCATCAAGGGATTTCAGGGAACTTGACAGTCTGTACCCATTTTCAAAAGTCCAGTGAACAGTGAAAGAGTCAAATAATTACTGAGATAATGGGAAATATGATAATGAGACCAATCTGTCTTTGTATCTTGAACAGGATCATGCTGAACCATTAAAACTATAGGATTCTGAATTTCTTCATATAAACAATTGGGGAAAATATTATACCATTCAGGGTTTATCAGTCCTTGCTTCTAGAAAGTTCCACCTTGTGTCTAATCTGAACCTCACCTCTGCTATTTATTGTCCATTCCTCTTCTAGAACTCCAAATGCCTTTGAGTTAACATGGATAAACCATGAATATTCCTTAGCTCTATCCATTTAGATCAGTAAATTCCCCAGAACAAGATTGGAACATAGTAGGAGATCAATTAATATTGTTGCAATGAGTAGATTTCATATACAGTAGATGGCTATGCTAATGTCCATATTCCTCTGGACTATATGCAATAAGGCATGATATTATACTTACACATTACAAATTAAAACATAAAATTCACTATGTACTGATATTGCACACATTCATTTAACTGTGATCTAAGGAGAAAAAATTTATTGCTAGTGACCTTAAATGGTACCTGTTATTGTTGGTGCTGTTATAATTACCTGTTAGTATCTTAAACCAGGTAATATTCAGTTTGATAAGCATTAATAGATACCCAATCATGAATCTTAGTCAGTGTCAGCCCT